TATCCTTATTTTCTAATGAGGAAAAAACTGTATAAAAAGTAAATATCATGGTGATCTCGCTTAACTTCTTCACCCTGGCATGTGTTAGCTGGTGAGGCACTATAGAAGGACTTGGACCCTCTTGCATACTTGCCTTTGAAGTTGAATATCTCAATGAGAAAGTTATAGCAGGAGTAAAAAACATTAATCTGACTAAGGCTCAGACAGATGTTTAGTGCAAACAGTGCTGTGAGAAATAGATCTCTTTCTACTGCCTAAAACTACATGAGAGCATATCATTCTAGTAGGGAAAACCCAGCCTGGTCTTTAATGCCAAAGTGGAATGGATAACTCCACATGAAGAAAAATGAAAATGAATGGTCTCTTGAAACTTAAAAACAGGAATTCCCACGGCCAGGGAGTTATCTAGACAAGACAGCTCATGAGAGACTGAATGCCAAACTGCCCTGTATCATATCACCTGATCTGATCAGGAATATGCAAGACTCTTGAAAAAGAGACAAAGAATTCAACCTGAAAAAAATAGTTTGGAGCAGAGTACAAGAAATAGATAAAAGGAAGGGGAACCAAAATTGTTACCAAGAAGACACAACCTGTACATCAAAGTAGGGAGGCTCTGTGGTTCACAACCCCAACCAGCAAGAAAATAAGGGAAAATAAAGGATAAAAGGACAGGAAGAAGTCATATTCAGCACCTTGCTTAGTTAGTTAGGTAGCAGTGGTTGGCAAGATGTGTGCAAGAGCTTCCTTGAAATTGCCACAAAATTACTCAGCATTTCTTATGAGAAACAAGGCAAATTATTCTTTGTTTCTCTTCTTTCCCCATATTCCCAGCTCTGAAGACCTCACAGGAGTTGTGGTGGTTGAACTCCTATTCAGGGTCATGATTTGCAGATACTCTGTAGGCAGCACATTGCTGCAACAGAACACACTGACAGTTCACTTTGACTCTCCTCCACCATGGCTCTGAGGCTTCTGCTGGGTCTGACCTGCAATACTGGCCCAGCACTAGAGATTTTCCTAACTCACTGTGTTCACACATATCCTCAGTGTGATTGTCTCCCCAGTCTTTTAGTTCAGATGCCATTACAGGTGGCATGATTAAAGCCATCTGTGAAAGATGCATGTGTGTAAAATGAGACCTGCGTAAGAGAAAGATTCAATTATCATAGTGTAAAGCAAAACAGCAAGATCTAATAAGCACATGGCACTGGTAGTCTTTCTCCTGCTTCTCTTTGATCTGTTATGTAGCATGCCAGCCCACTAAGCA